TATAGAAAATGGTTTAATATATATATATATATATATATATATATATATATATATATATATATATATATATATATATATAGAGAGAGAGAGAGAGAGAGAGAGAGAGAGAGAGATGAATGATCTTTTAAGCACTGGTGCTTAACTTATGTTAAGTATCAATGATATGACACATCATTTAATTGGTGAATCATTAAATACATGAAAATTATTCATCAATTAAATATATTGTCATGTCACTGATATTTAGGAGATCAGACTATTAAATAGGTGAACATGTAATAGTTAGAACCAAATCAATTATTGGGCTCAATCTATCCCCACTTCAATTAATTAATTATACATTTGTCTTTACCTTTAATAATTATTAATTAGTAAGTTCATTTTCAATAAGACTTATTGCTAGTAGGTATCACGGCTCATCATGCTTATCCTTTCTAGGTGATATTAAATGGAATTATAGACCAAAAACTTTTGTCCCATCGATATGTGTGCCAACCCAAAGACACAATAGTCAAACAAATTGTACAAAGGGAAAATTTCCTAACAAGGACCTAACTAGTAGGAGGACATGAAAGTAACGTTTTTAACTATATATGTCATTGTTAGATTCATTCATTCTAGTCTAATTTTCCATCAAATCGCTCCACTTCAAACTTTGAGCTTGTCATCATTTTTGCAGCAATTCCATAATTTGAACAGTGGACTCTAATACCATTCATTGAAAAAAAAAATCCAATATATAGTCTTACGTACATCACGAAAGTCAAAATTGACATAGTGATACATAATTTATGCCATAAATTGGCGATGAATGTCCTGCTAATCTATATTTTTGTATTTTCAACGTGGCCAATGAATCTGCAGGTATCTTGTGTCCACATAAACTTGATTTCTACAAACTAGGACAAACAGTTAACCACACACTCCGACAATTAAGAAGTTGTATGTATATCAGCCCCTTGTAGCTTCGCTCGCCATAAGTGTTCGATTCTCGATTCGGCTAAATTGCCTCCTAGGCAGAAATGACCTGGAGTATGGGCCCAAGTTCGCCTGTCATGGAACCGCCACATAGAAATTATTAGAGCCTTGTTGGGCAAGGCGTAACAAATGTTTAGATCTTGTCGATCTTATTTGAGTCAATTTTTCACCAAGATTTAACCAGAAACCATAGATTCATGTGTTATTTTGATATGCACATATTATCAAGCAAATACGAGAAGTTTTATTATGACGCAATGTTTGGCTAACGTTTATGATTTCCTTAGAATTTGTCAAATCACTTTTTATTCACAAATAGTATTCACTTACTCGTAACTTATTTTTACTTATATAATAATTAATATGTAGATGAATCATATAGTAATTTCTTTTTGTCTTAATTGCCAAGTTGCTTTCAAGTTATTGTTGAATGTCAAAGAAGAAGGAAGCCACATTTTTCCTTTCACCTTCAGCAAAAATAAACTTGGGCAGGGAAATTAAATTCAAAAAATAGAAAAATTGACAACATTCCCCGTTTGAAACTCATTTTTTGATCAAATCTTATTATTCTACAGTAGCAGGCAAATTTAAAATTATAGAATGAGTCAGTGCAATTGTTAGAATGAGTTAATATTGATAATGTCGTTGAGGCGTATAGGACTATTTTACCCTCACTTTGTAATTGGAAATTTACACAAGTACCCTCAACCAATTGAACCATTTATGTAAATTGATGGATTTAATATGTGGAGCGCTCCATTGAATTGTCAAAACGTGGCAGCTCTGGTTGTCAGACAAAAATCATAATTTCAAATGTGGGGCCCACAAGAAAAGAAATGAGATCGAAAATTTTGGAAGAGTTGTGCTTCACGTACATATGCCAATTTCACCGGCCTTTTCCAAAATACACACATATGTGGGCTCACGTAATTTTTTTTTAAATATATGTGGGGCCCCTGCACGGTGAGGGGTCCTGTAAAACTTATGTGACGCAAATTCTGTACACTGGCATTAGTGATTTTGGAAAGAATGGAAGGCATACACACTTGAGAAAGATTGAATGAAACCCACTTAAGAAAAATCATCAGGCAATCCATCGTAATTAAGATTTTAATTTTTTACTTCTTTTAATAGTATATTCCTTACTCTTAATACTACTACAATTATATGAATTTTATGCATCGGCATATTTATTAAGAAAAAATCTATAATAGAAATTGAACAAGTCCTCAGAAGTTTGGTTATAAGGTTTAATGAATGAAATTAGACAAATCACAATAAATGCTACGTTTTTCATTAATTCAAAAATGTGTTAGACCAATTAATGTGGCCCCACGTAATATTATAAATAAATTAATATTTGGTCTATATATATTAAAAATCTGATTGGTCATTGAGAAGTGACAGTTTTGTAACTGCCCACTTTGATGGAAAGTGGGTAGTTTTGACCTAAAAGAAAACTGCCTCTCTCTGCCTTTTTAACGTGAATGAAAAACCATCAATAAGAACATTCAAGAACAGTAAGGAAAAGAGAGAGAACAGTTTTCTTTATTCTCACTGATTTCTCTTTTGCAGATTTAATAAATTCCAATTTTCTTCATAGATCAAGGTATGTTACTTGATCAAATTACTCATACGTGAAAATCATAGAATTCCAAGATCTTGGCATTAAAGTATGAATTCATTGCTTACATGTGGTATCAGAGCACAAGTTATGGAATTCATGATTTTTCGTTAAAGATTAATGTTTTATATTCATAGATCTTTAATTTTTCGTATCGATTTATGGATCAATGCGTAAAATAAGAATGACAGATTCCGCTGCAAATATGTTTCTGTTTTCTGATTGACTGCTGTTAAAATAATAAATGGATCTTTGATTTTTTACTGCACCGATATTAATCTGTGAAAAGAGCAGTCCCTGTTTCATCAGAAAAATTACACATCAATTGCATTTATTATTGTTTCACGTATTATGTAAATTAACGGATGGGATGACTTCCGTAGAAAATATTATTAATTCTGTCAAACCTGATGAA